TTTGTAATTCAGTGTTTTTGAATTATTTTGTAATTCATTTACGTCATGGTCTCATATATGTCGATGATCTCAATTAAATGTTAATTCTCTAATAAGCAAATAGAATAAAAACTTGATGAATATATATTTTTTTTTTCAATAAAAAATCATTCGAGAATCATAATTTAAAAAAATTAGCATTACGATCAAATTTAATAATAATTCTGATTTATAAAAAATAATTGATGACTGTTTTTGTTTTAAAGATAAAACAAATAAACTTTTATTTCGAATTGAATTATAGTCTTAATATAATAAGAAATGAATATTGAATTTATTTTTTCAATTTCTATTATTTTGTTTTTTTGTTTATTCAGAGAATTTTGAAAAAAAAAGCATAATGGATCAACGACATAACTAATTTTTTGAAATATAATATAAGTGAAAAGATGAAAAGACACACATATATATATATATATTAAATGTTAAGTTATTTTTATGAATAAAAACTAAGTTTAATGATAATGAATGTAAGTAAATATTTGACAAGTTTTATCTTGTTCGTTTTTGAATGTCAAATAATAATCGAACTGATAAGATTATAAATAAAATATGTTTTTTTATTTTTGAAAATAATTCGAAGTCATGGAAGAATAAAATGTCTAAGTGATTCATTTAATGGTGGTGAAAGTGATGAATGTTCAAGTGTTTGTCTATTAAGACCACCTATTTTCGAAGAACAAAGACGTTTACGTATTCGATTTCGACAAATTTGTTTTAATTTTAATGGTGTTGAAAGTATTGTTGTTATTGTATCAATTTCATCTGTTGCTTTATCAAAATGACTTCCTAAATCTTCTGTAAATAATTCAACAAGTTCATGATTTGTTAATGTTAATTGTTCATTTTCATACATAACATGTATTAAATTTCTAAGAATACTACCTGTATAATGTCTATCAAATTCATCATCTTCCATAAGTGTATCTTGATAATTTCTATTAAACCAAATCCATATATGAACAAGTAATATTTTATTATTTTCAAATGAATCAATAAATAATGATGGTAAATCATAAGCAATAACAATCCAAAAATTTGATTCAAATCGACGAAATGATGATAATGAATTTGTATAAAATTCAGTTAATGATTTAAGTGATGAAAATCTACATTTATGACTTAACATTAATTTTAATGTTTCTTCTCTATATTCAAATTGATAATCTAAATTATTAAGTAATTTCCAAACAATATCTAATGGTGTATGACCATTTAAATCTAATGGATTTTCTTCAACTTGACCTTCTTCTAATAAAAGCCTAATTATCTATAAAAGAATAATTTTTTTTATTTTAATAAAAAGATAAAAACAAAATAAAAAAAAAAGTTCTTTATAAAACCTCAGTTGAACATTTTCCAGCAGCAATATGTAATGGTGTTCTTTTTGTATAAGCTTCTTTTATTTCCATATCAAATAATTGTTTATACTTAATTAAAAGTTTAACTAATTCAATAGAATCTTGTTTAATAGCAATATGAAGTGGATAATGAAACATTCCCATATCTTGTGCAACACGTGAATGCATTTCACGCATTTTTATTTTATGTTCATCTTCATTTGATAATGAACTAAAATAATTATCTGTTGCATTTGGTTTATCTGTTATATTTACATTTAAATTAATATTAAGAAAATATTCAACAATACGTATATGTCCACAATAACATGATAAACAAAGAGCATTTAAACCCCAAGGTCTATCATTTATATAAAAACAAAAAAGAAATAATTTTTCGAGGAATATTTCTAAGTAATTATTTTACCTCAATTTATCTGTATTTGCTCCATGTTCAATAAGTAATTTAACACAAGCTAATCTATCATGAAGAATAGCATAAAAAAGTGGAGATCGATAATCAAACATTGTACCAGAATCAGATGGATCTTCATCCGATTGATAATCATCTTCACTATCAACTAAATCATCTGCTTCTTTTAAATTATTTGCTGATGGCCGATAGACAAACAATTTATATTGATTAACATCAATATCTTTTGATGAATTTAATGCTGATTTTAGTTCTGAAAAATCACCTTCACTACATAGTTCATGTAAATCAATTATTTGTTTTTTTTCACCGGGACCAGCCATCGCTTAGATTTTTGAATTAATTAATATAACTAGAGCAAATAAAAAATAATAACAACGAAGAAGAAAATCTAAAAACTGTTCATTGCTTTGAACATTATCCAATAGAAAAACGAATCATGAAAGATGTCAGTAACTATTAGTAAAAATGATATATTTATCAAAAACTCATCAGTTATATCAAAATTGCCGGATCAAATAACAAACACAAGAAAAAAAACATTAACTTTTTATCCAAGTCATTATTTCTTATTTTTTTTTTCTTCATACGATTTTTTTGTATGTTACTTTTATAAAATGAAAAATTTTCGAATAGGGTTCATTAACTTTGGATTAAAAGAAGAATGTATGATCTTGAATAAAAACAAAATACAATCAATTATTGAAATCATTGATTGATAATGATAAATATCTTCTTGTTTCAGTTTTTATTTTCACCACTTATTCATTATAAAAATGCATCAAGATAAATGTTTCAGATTAATTTATCAAATACTAACTGATCGATGTTTTCACGAAATTTCCCTTATATTCGTTATATCGAACAGTCAATGTCAAACTAATTCTTTTCGAAATAGTTCGAATGAAAAAATGAAGAAGCAATTGATAAATTATGTTATATGTATAAATAATGGATTCTAATGTGTTGTTGATTTCATTAATTCTACAAAATATTTATCCCGAAACAATTCATTGAGTTAGTTGGTATTAGAGACCTGCACAGAACTTCGAAATCCAATTCCGACTCTGTCGGAGTCAGAGTCAATACAAATTATAGAAATTCTGAAAACACCCTATTGTAACGATAAAAGGAGAGATGATGTAATGACAGACTGGAGGAGTAG